GGGGCCTGAGCAGCTGCAGCCAGTGGTCCTCCCTGCCCCCAACCCAGTCCCTGGGTCCGCACGGTCATCCGCTCCGAGGCCCTTCTGGACATCTTCTTCTGCCCCCTTCCAAGCTCGTGGGAGCTGCTGTTTGCTTTTCCCTGTCTGCAGGGTCTGGGCTGAGAAGGCAGTGGCCTCCTCCTGCACCCCAAGGCTGCAGCCTCTTCCTTGGCTCCGTAATTTTCTACTGATGAGGTGAAGGTGAAGAAAACCCTGTCCTCCCAGTCAAGGCAAGGCGATTGTTTCGTTCTTCCTGCTCTGCCTTCCCAGCCTTCCCGTGTGTTTGAGGGACCTGGCTGCAGAAAGCGATGTCATTGATGAAGTCACCATGGCGGTGACCCTCGGGGGCACACATCTCAGCTTCGTTACCCCAGCCGGGGCCCGCCCTGCCCCGCTGTGGACCCACCAGCCTCCGAGGGCCGGGTGTGGGACCGCAGGCAGTCTGCCCTCGGTCCCCTCTGGGTATGTCGCAGGGCAGTGGCGAGCAAGAGCAGGCCTTCAGAAAACAGGCCCTGGTGGGGAAGCCGTGAGGCGGTTAGAGGGTCTGGAAGGCAAGACAGGGGAGGCCGTGGGGAGAGGAGGGGCTCCCGGCTGGCCTGACGCTGTGTGGCCAACCTCCACCCTCCCCCAACGCTAACGTGCCTCTCGAGTGGGTGACCTCGGGAGGCCGCACCCGCGGGCCCGGCTTGAGAGTGTTGAGTGAAGCAACAGTGTTATCAGGACGAAGTCTCTGCATCGAATCTTCCAGAAGCCTCCGAAGAGGCTCTGACGCGTCCCACTCTGGCCTCCCTCCCTGCCCCAAGCTGTGGCCCTGCCACCTGTTCCCTGGTCCCCTCTAGGGTGGGACAGCAGCCTTTCCTCGTTCTGGCCCGCAGCCCTGTCCCTCCAGAGCCTTCCCCACACGCCCAGAGATCCTCCTGACTCGTTCACGTCCCTGCCTACTGCATCTTTCCATGGTGCCCCCTGACTGGGATGCAGTTCCTCACCCAAAGAGCCTGGAACTTCCATTTTACACAGAAGGAAATCGGTTATCCGGGGTCACGCGGCCCGTGGAGGAGGCTGGGTGTGGACCTGGCCCTGTGGCACCACAGCCCCTTCTTGTCCTTTCGCCTCCGCCTGCCCTGGGTACCAAGGAGACACTTGGTCTGGGTTTGCAGAACGTAATTGGATTTTCGTGGGTTGGATCTGATTAGTGTCGACCTGGCGGGCACCGGCTCTGCAGACCAGGGCTGCTGGCAAGGACTCTGCAGCTCTGTTCAGACTCCGCACCCGCTCCCTGGTATCCAGGCCCAGGTGTGGTGTGGCTCTTGTAGCTTGGCCCCAAGAGCGGTGGTACAGGGGGCCCTTCAGTCCCAGGCTCCCAGGAGGTTGCTCCGGGTAGGCGGGGGCTGCGGCTGGGCGTCTCTTAGGTGAGGCAGCTCTATTCGTCTCTTCCTTCCTCTCTCCTTTCCACCTTTCCCTCTCTTTCTCCCCTTTTCTTTCTTATTTCTTTCATCCACCATTCACTGAGCCCTCGTCCACTGCCAGACCTGTGCTGGGAACCTGGGGTGCAGAACGGAGTTGAATGTCCCCGCAGGGTCCCCATACCCGCCAGGAAAGAACAACATGAATGGTTGTTCCTATTAGGGCTGTGACAACAGCCATGCTTTATAGACTTCTGGGCCACAGTCTCCAGAGTCACCTCCTCTGAGCCTCCCCCCAGCCCTGGGAGGTAAAAGTTCCTAGGGTCCCATTCCACGGTTGACAAGACCAAGGCCCGGGGAAGTCAGCAGGCTGGGCAGAGGCTCTGGTGGTCTGGGTGGCCCCAAGCCCCAGCCCCTTATGAGCTGTTGCCATGTGGTGAGCATGCCCAGGCATCTAAGGGTCTGGCACTGGCTGCTCGCCGTGCCTTTCCATGCACTGCTTGGTGAGCCAACGGTGAAAGGCTTTCCAGTCCCTGGGCAGCTGGCAGTAACAGGCACCATGGCCTTGGCCAGCTCTATGCCGGGTTCCTAATTCTGTTCACCACAGAAATTACTGGCTGTCGATCAGAATCTGGGTCCCAGATCCCTGCCAGTCTGCCCCTGCCCCTGGCCAGCAGAAGCCAGCACTGTCTGCAAGGGGAGCACAGAAGTAATACAACTGGCCAGGCGCCTGTGATCAGCAGAAGAAGCCCCGGTCACCCCCCGGCCAGGCTACTGTAACATCTTTGGAGTGGTCACTAGGTAGTGGCATACAATGGCACTTGCTCCGGGGAGGCCCAACTACTTAGGCCAGCTGTGTAGCCTGCATCTTGGCAGAGCTATAAGGATACCCCTCTCAGACCCAGCTACCCCTGGTTCTGAAAAGATCATTTGGGGTAAAAATAGATTCTTTCTGCTCATGTGTAAGTTTCTAGTTGTTGCTAGATTGCTTTTCAGTATGGTAGATATCGGTAGGTGGGACCAACGACACCCTGGCTCTGCGGGCTCCTCTGTTACTGCTCGGAATGTAGAGAAGGTAAAGCCATCCCCAACGATGGTCCTCAGCCCTGAGGCAGGGAAGAGCAGAGGCTGAGGGGTGTGAGGCAGGGTCTCGGGAGCCTGGGTAGGAAGGCACCGCCTTGGCTCTGTGCTGGGAGGCAGAGGCCTGGCTCCCCAAAGCTGTCTGAGGACTCGGGTGAGGCCTTTGAGACCAGTGGCTGACAGCGGATGGAGGCTGGGGCTCTGCCTGTATGTTCCAGAGACCCTGCATTACTATAGTAATGCTAGATTCCTCCCCCAGGTCCTCCTTTGACAGCAAACTACAGCTTGGCAACTTGGGGTATTATGAAAGTCTAGATGCTCTAAAACAAGATGATTCGGTGATGTGTCTGTGGAGAAGGAGAAAGCTCTAATGCTCCATAGTCCAAGGTTCAGGAGCACATAGACTCCCTGGGGACAAATTGATGGCCAGTGATGATGAACAGGGATTCTCGTAAATTGAGTTTCTTTGACTGGAAATGGAAATTCAATCTCCCTTTCTTCATCATGTGAGCTAAGTGGGGCCTTGGGCTCTTCCTGCCTTAGGAAGAAGCTCTGATCTCTTACAGTACCGATCTTCTGGGAAGTGAACATGTGGCAGAGGTGTGGGGAAGACATGAGGAAAACCCAGGAGTCAGGCAGCTTTGCAGAATGGGTGGCATTTGAGATGGGCCCGGGATGTCACTTCTGGAAGACAGGAAAGGGTGCCAGGGGAAAGAAGTCCGGGGAAGAGGTATGTGGAAGGAGGGGTCCACAGGCGGCGTAGCATTGCAGGAGTGGGGAGTATGAACATGGGGTGAGGGCAGAGCCGGTGGGACCAAGCTGAGAAGAAGCCAGAGCACAGGGAGCTGCAGAAGCCCCCTGAGCAGGGAAGGAAGGATGGCCCTGAGCTGAGTCCACCTTTGAGAGTAACTGCTAAGGACAGCCAGGGAGACTGTTCAGTGGCTGGTACCCACTAGCCAAGTCCTGACCAGCGCAGAGCTTTCCTGAAGACCCGATGAGAGGCTGCATGTGTCTCAGGGGCCCAAGAGAGTCCCTCCCCTAAAAGCCACCTGGGAAACGGGGCTGCTAGCCCTGGCCAGGGCCTTAGCAGGGAACTCCCTTTCCCAGATGTGCAGGGGACAGCACAAATCATCAGGAGTCATCTTGTCTGTTACTGAATACCTGCCCTTTTCCCTCTGCAACCTCATTGGATTCGCACGCCTGCTCCGGGAGGCAACAGTCGTCCAGACACAGCCACAGGGGGGCCTGACTTTAGTTAACTTGGTAAGGAAGCCATGTACCGGTGCTGGGCCGTATGGGTTTAGGGCTCCCCGGTAGCTGGAAACAGCCGAAGTGGGAGGGTTCACACCTTGGATGAACCTTCCACCCACCTCGGTGGTCAGCACTGGTCAGCACCCATCTGTGTGGTCCATGAATCAATGTCTGCAGAGCTGAGAGGAGAGACCTGGTCTCTGACTGGACTAGTAGCTTCCTGTGAGAGCAGCGGTGTTGCCATTCGCTTGTTGGGTATGCGCTGGTTAGACCTTGCATCCTGCGGCAGTTTGATTTGACTGCGTGAAAACCATCAAGGTGAGGGAATAATATGAACAGTAAAATGAGGTGAAACTAGGACTTAGAGTGCCAGGCATAAGACGTGGTCGTGAATCATTCATTTCTGCCGTGGGGAGTTTATTTTAACTTTAGAGAGGTTCCAGGGCTGGAACCTCTCGCATGCTGCCACTGAGCTGCACCTCCAACCCTAGACAGCTGTATCTGTGTCATAGCTGCCGGGAACCTTGTGTTTTTAAATGCATCCGGTATTGCCGCATGGTTGTGTTCACAGGGCCCAGGATCAAGATTTAGCTAGTTGTGCCCCGGGGCAAGAGGCCAGTGTGTTCCTTGGGGCAGAAAGGCTACCCTGTGAGTTCACCCACCCACAGGATTCCCTCCCCTCTGCACCTTCCTGGAGGGCACAGATGTAAGTCAGGTCACAGAGCCGGTGAGCTGGCAGACAGCGGCCCTCCCCTTTCATCTGCCTGTGGCCTCTTGATGGACTTGTGACCCACAACCTCTCACTTGACCCCTGACCTCATAAATTCTAGAAACTCCTCACAAATCACCAGGAAGATAAACATCAACTGGGGTCACCAGAAAGAAGTCCGAGCCACTCCAGGCAGATGGGGGAAGACGGAGTCTGCCGGCTGGGGGAGGGGCCGGCGCCCCTGGCCTGAGCCTCTCCACAGCCCTCGCCCAGAAATCTGCCCTGGGACCCCAGGTGTGGTTACAGTCCAGCTGGCGGAGCTCTAGCTCCAGGCGCTTCCCCGAGGGACCTCCAGGTGGACGGCGGCACACGCCCGCATGTCGGTGTTCCTGTGCCCGTGCTGGGTACGGCGTAGCTCGTTTCATTGTGATGACTCCATTAGCTGCCTCTTTTCGGCCTGAAATTACCTCTCCCTCTCTCTCCCTGGCCCCCAACCCCTCTCCTGTCTTTCTTCGCAGAGGGTATGAACTGCATGAACAAAGACCATGGCTGTGCCCACATCTGCCGGGAGACGCCCAAAGGTGGGGTGGCCTGCGACTGCAGGCCCGGCTTTGACCTTGCCCAAAACCAGAAGGACTGCACACGTAGGTAGATGGACGCAAACGGGTCACCCCCACGCGTCTCCCTCCAGGGTGCTGGATGTCGGGGAGGAGAGAGGGCAGGTCTGCTGCGGGGCGCCGGGGAGGGGTTAGGGGATGACGTGAACCCTAGGCCCAGGGTTCTCCCTCCTGAATCAAGTCTGGGCCCTGAACCCCAATGTGCAGTGGGAATGGCGGGCTGGGGCACAGAGGCCTGAAAGTCCAGGTGCCCTGGTGGCCTGTGGAGCCCTGCATAATGGGGTGAAATGAAGAGGCACAGCAGGGTAGCTCTAGGGGTCCGTATGGCCCGTATGGCCCGCACTGACCTCCCTTCCAGGGAGGCAGGGGGAGGAGACCTCAGCTTGTTGGGAGTAGGGTACCGCACTGCCATCATATGTGCCCTGGGTGTTCCAAGAGCCGAGACAGGCTACCAAAAGCATGTCCCCTCTCGGCCAGGGACAAAAGCTTCACCACGATGGCCAGGAGGGATCTGACTGGGAGTCTCCCTAGAGAACAAGCTCCTCACCTGCATTGTTGAGGTGGAGATGGGCCCTGGGACAGGTGTGAACGCAGTGGCCGTTTTTTCATTCCCTTGTTCTGTGCAGAACATAGCTGGCCCATGTTGACCGCCATCCTCAGTCATGGGGACTCCTCCGTTGTCACCAGTCCTCCCAAGGGCAACTTAGCACACATTTTCCCAGTCATGCCAGCCTCCGGCAGTCACCAAGGCTCAGGGACACCAGATTCTGTCCATCTCTGGGAGGTGGTGCCGCAGCCCCCGTATTCCATTTCTGTGTCCCTCTTGTACCCTGGGTCTGGCCCCAGACTGCTCAGCCTTACTCTTCACTGTTGGCTCTTTCCCACGGGACAGCAAATACAAGTGTGGATGCTGTCACCAAAGCAGGAGCAATAGATAGTCCCAGGACCCCTTACCTCTAGCCCAGATGGATTCCTGTTACTGCCAAGACACCACCTGCTGCCTGGCTGCTTTCAGGACAGAAAACGAAAAGTCCAGCTATCCCCACCCTCCTCGTTTGGTGACGACAGGAGAAAGGCCCAAGACAAAAACACATGTGCAGCAGAAGTGTGTTACTCCAGCACAAGTCAGGCTGAGCCCTTGCTCAGGGCCAGGCCCTGAGTGGGCACCGAGGAGAGGGCTGCTGGATGACCTGACTGGCACCAGTGTGTACCTGATTCTAAAATACATCGGGGACAAGTGCTATGTCGGAGAGCATCTCAGGAGGAACAACTTGGTCAGAGCAGCTAAGGCACTCACCCGACCCCAACCACCACCTGCTTAGAGAGGGGCTAAGCCATTGCAGACCTTGCCAGTTCAAGGACTCCCAGTGCGCCCCCTGCTGGGGAGCTGGGTGTTACCAAGGTGTGGACAGCCCAATAAGCAGTGACGCACTGAGGCCTTGTCAGAAGGGACTGCCTCGGTGGTTAGTGGAGTTCCTGAGGCAGGGCTAAAAATGGCTCTGAGACCTTCGCTGTAACCCTTGAGGTCACAGTGCTGCAGGTTAGGCTGGGGCCGAGGCTGGCTTATCCAGTCTGTGAGGGCCGGGAAGACTGCAGAGCTCTACTTCCGACTCCCCAAGCCCTCCAGAGCCGACCCCACTCCCGATTCAGAGGCTCTACTCCTTCCCTCTGGCTTCCCAAGTCAAGGGAAGGCACTTCTGCATTCAGAGACAGCCCAGCCCTCAGAGATCTAGGGGTAAGTTGGCGGCCTCCTTCTGAGCCACAGCCATCCATGGGTGCAGAGCTTGAAAGAACAGGCTCTCTGTTCCCAATGCCTTCTCACTAGCTGCTGCCATGCCAAGTCTAAAACAGGACTCTGCTCAGGCCCAGAAAGCCTGTGCTGTCCAGCATGCCTGGACTCCAGCCTCACCTAGGATCTGTAGCTCCTGACCCTTGGCTTCTTGTGCATCTTGCTGCTCAGAAATGAGCTGTTTTAGAGAGGAGACCAGGCTCCATAAAGCCCAGGAGGAGAGACACTTCTGCAGAGAGGGGCCCAGTTGGGTTTCCTGGAGATCTTGAAGGTCCTTGAAACATCATCTTGGAAGTTGCATCCAAAGTCACATTAACTGGACTACGTTGTAGCCCCTGGGGCCCTTAGGTAGCTATCTGGCCCTATCAAGCCATTCTCAGCCACTGTAGAGACCACAGTACCAAAGGCCAAAGGGCCACCACCATGCAGGAAGATGCCCAGGAGGATAGTGCTGGGGCACTTTCCTCATGAAGAGGAGACGTGGCTTGGGTGGCTGCAGATGTCAGTTCTAAAACATTAGATGTCTTCTGAGAGCTGCCACCAGTGACTTCCCTCTGCAGCTGGTCCTGTTGGTCGTCCTTTAATAAGATGGGATTATTTCAAACTCTCAGGTTTGGAATTTTGGGCCCCTCTGACCATACTTGGCCTGAGATCAGATTTTGCATATTTAATCATCGCTGGGGCCGGCCAAGTAAAGTAAGAAGTTAGAATGGTAGGACAACAGCAAGGTTTCCAAGAAGGCGCAGTGTCCTCACAGCCCTAGGTGTGCCCTTTGCACAGGGGACAGCTCCTTGTAGCCAGGACTGTCCCACAGACCTCGGATCCCCCTGTTGTCCTCCAGCCATCTCTCTCCACCTCAAAAGTGATAACAGGGTTTGTTTCTAATACACTTGAATTTATACTTTTCCCACTTTCAGCCAGCTTCTTTATGTTGGGCCACCCCAGAGCTACTGAGGCTGAGAAACGTCTTGAGGTTCTGGGCAGAAATGTACCAGGTTCTCCAGGCCGCAGGGGGTGCCAGCTGTGCAACATGGCTTATTCAGGTCACGGTCACCACTGCCCCTCAGGCAACAGGAGCTTGCCTAAGTTCTTGTGTGCGGGCACTGCCGGGCTCTGGCTATGTGGGCTGAGGTGGTTGGCTGCTGGGCCCCAGGGACAGTGGGTGTCCATGGGGATATCCCTTCACACTGAGCTCTGCCATAACTGTGCAAGTGACTGTCACCTGGAGCCATGGCTGGACCCCTCTCGCTCCCCAAATTGTCAGCTGTATTAACAGACACTTGTCCCATCGAGCCAGCAGTGTTAAAGTATCTTGTGACCTGGGAAAGGGAAAACTGGCCTGTGCGTCCCTTTCCCTATCTACTGCTGTCTGGGTGATGGCCTGAGGCCCATCAGGCCCCACTCCACTCCCCTGTAGGGCAGGGCGTTCAGTCTGAGGCCTGGAGGGACCCAGTGCCCATAGGCCCTCTGTGCCTATCACTGGCCACTGGGCCTTCCTGTCCCTACCCACCCCCAAAGGAAATAGCCGCCACCTCGCACTAACCACTCTTGTTGTCGTTCTGTTTATACACACACGTGTGCACTTTGGGCTAACTAGTAACCTGTAACTATGGAAACGGAGGCTGCCAGCACAGCTGCGAGGACACGGACACAGGCCCCATGTGCGGCTGCCACCAGAAGTACGCCCTCCACTCGGACGGCCGGACGTGCATTGGTGAGTAGGTGCCTTGTGGCCCTGCGTTGGCCACTCCCTGCCCTTCCTGATTTCCCAGATTGGGGTTGAAGGGAACCAAAGAAGGACCCATGGTGGAGATGGCATTGGCAGGTGTCCCCATGAGTAGCACCTGTGGAGACTTCTCCTGGGTCCTGGGGTCAAGTCCCCGCTGGGGATTCTGCTGTCCCCGGCCTCCATGCGGGTAGGTGGCCTGGAGGAGGAGGAAGGTACGAACCTCAGAAGCAATAGTCTGCTCTGAAGCTCAGGTGTTTCCTGGCATGGAAAACACTCGGCCAGACTCGTGTGATCAGCATCACCCGTGAGTTCTGTGGGTACCCTGGCAGCCTGGCACACCTGGGGCTCCTCAGAACATGCTGTGAGCAGCGGGTGGCACTTTCTGGGTGCAGCGTGGGTGCTTTGAGCTGCTTCGTGCCAAGCTGAAGGACTTCCTGGCCACCTGAAGTCCCTTCTCAGTGCCCCCCCCACCATCACCTCACCTGCCACGTGGAATCCTGCATTGAGTTTCAACCACCTCCCTCCTCCGGGCCGTATTCCCAAGGGGAAGCTGAAATATTATTTAGTGCTGCAATCACCTGTAGTTTTGATTTGTTCTTTTCCTCCCATTCAAAAATAACAGCAAAATTTTTAACTGAGGAAAAAAATAGAACTTCAGAGCCGGTACCCAGTCTGCCCGCTTCTTCCTCTTCGGTGCCGGCACTTTAGGAACCCCCACGAGTCGGGAGCCAGTACTTTTTTTTTCTAAGGCCCCATCTCTTCTTGTCACCCAGGAGCTACCTCCTGAGGGACTTCCGTGTACCAGAAAGGGGTTGGTGCAGGTGTGGGCACACGAGGCCCAGAGTTGCCGTCGCGTTCCACCCCCCGGGACTGCGCCCTTGTGGCTTGGGAAGCAGGGTGCCCTGCTGTCCCCTCCGTGGTCCAGGGCTGTCTCACAGGGTGCTGCTGCCTGCGGTGGTTGTCCCTCCCTCTGTGTGGTCTCTTCTCTCAGACAGCCATTTTTTATTTTGTTTTATCTCATTCCTCCTGCTTTTCTGGTGATGGTCCCTGATTGCCTGTCTTGTCTGATAACTGACACTCATTAATTATTTTCAGAGCCAAAAGCCAAAACCAAACCAACCAACTAATCAGAAAAAATTAAAAGCCAAACGGGGTCTCAGACCAGTGTCTCTATTGCAGCCTGATCCCATCTAGAACCCCCTGTCCTGCGCCTCTGTCCCTCCGCTGTCCTGCCCACCCCCCCGGCCGCCCGGCCTCCCTCTTGTCTTGTTTGCTCAAGAACCCCAGGGTTTGCGGTGCAAACCTCCCAGCCTGTGTCTAACCTCTCACGTCTGTGTCCTCCTGACTCATCCTTCCTCATCTATTTTTTATTTTCCAACGTCTGTCGCAAGTGACACTCCCTGCCTGGATCTGCTTCCTAAAGTAACGTCCCCAGCCCGCGCTTTCCTTCTCCCCTCCTTAGAAACCATTCTCCTCCCAGCCCTGCCAGTGTAGCCTCCACGCCAGCCAGGATGAGAACCCTTTCATCTGACCCTGCTCACTGCCACCAGGGTCCCCCTTGGGAACAGTGTCCGTCCTCGCTGCTGAGGGCTCTGGCTGAGCAGACGCTCCCCCCGGCGAACCTCGCAGCTCCTGCACAGGAAGTGCCTTGCACACTCGCTGCACAGCCAGCTGGCCAGGCCTGTTCTTCCCTGCACGCTCCTGAAAGGCCCGCACCCTCCTCGCAACCCCTCGTGAGCACTTGGATGTTTAGCTCTGGTGCTCTAGACAAGCAGGCAACCAGCGCTGCCCAAACTGACCCCTGGTTCTTCCATCTGTTCAGTGGAATCCATTGTCATGTGCACGTGTGTCTTCCTCTGTGTGTTTTGTTCTTAATTTTGCATGAACGACACAGTTTTGTGTCTGTCCTCGGAACAGGGCATCTGCTGTCCCAGGCACATCCATCACCGGACCTCGCAGCCCTGTCCCCTTGTCCTGTGCCTGCCTCTCCCGCCCGAGCCGTGGGGCCTGTGACCGCTCTGCAGGCCGGTCCTCTCGCTCCTCCTCCTTCCTGTTTGCACAGGGCCGCTGTGTCCTTCCGTGTCCCCGGGTCATGTGTGGTCACCCGTCTTCTGCACGCCCCAGCCTGCCCTCGCTGCCTATCTGCTTTGCCCAAGTGGTTCCCGGGAGTAGCCCCGGGCAGGGACGCCTTGCTGGCCTGCATGCGCGTCCGCTCTGCGTGCGCCACGCCGAGAGGCTGGCTGTCTTGGGCCGCCGGAAGTGGGCTCTCATTAACCACCGGCTCCGTGTTTGTCCCTTACTTGTGTTTTAGAGAAGGATGAGGCTGCAATTGAGCGCTCTCAGTTCAATGCCACGTCAGTAGCTGATGTGGACAAGCGGGTGAAACGGCGGCTCCTCATGGGTAACACTTTTCTTCCACTTCCTTTGTCGTACTTGCCCTTTCGTGTGTGGGTGTGCTGTGAGCACGTGTGTGCTGGTGTGTGGCTGGTGTGCACATGTGTGTGGGTGCGTATGCGGCTTGATGTGTGCCTGCGTGTGTACCACCACACGTGCTGCCTGTGAGTGCGGGGGGGCTCCACTACTAGTGGGAATCACTTTTTCCTTTTTAAAGTTTTAACCTTCACCAGACACGTGTTACTTTGTGTGTTTGTAGCACCGAATCCGAGCCCCTGCCCAGTGACCTGAGCGAGTAAGGAGACGCGCGCCCTAGGCCGCCTCTGCTTGCTGTAAACACCCACCTGGGCAGTTAGGTCCCGGGGCCAGCAGAGCCACACTGAGACTCAGAAGCTGAGGGGCTTTGGGGGAAGGGGTTCCGGGGGGTGTCACGAGTGAGGGGAAGGAAGAGGAAGATGCAGCTGCCTTTGACAGGGTGCCGAGTGTAGACGGGAAAGCAATGGTTCCTTGGCTGTGCGGTCACCAGCTGCGGGCTGCACAGAACACAGGTGGCAGCCTGCCAGCATCATCCTTGACATTCTGATGGCTCACACCAGCCTGGCAGCTGTGGGATGAGACGGTGTCATCCCCATTTCTCAGAGGAAGGGACAGATGCCCCTTGGTGCGCTGGCTGCCCAAGACCACACACTGCTCTGCAAAGCTGAGCTCAGCCCCCAGAGCCCGGCCATGTGGGCCATCTTAAGTGTCGGGTTGCAAGGCCCTGAAGGTCCCAGAGAGGTCACCTAGTTTCCTGGTCCCCGTGCAGATGTCTAAGGGCCCGGGCATCAGAGAGGAAGGGAGGAGGGGCAGAGGGCCCTGTGCTGGTGAAGAGCTCAAAGCCTGGCCGGCCTGGCTTGGTGAGCCCTTGCACATGTGCTGGGAGGACAGGTGCCACCCGCTTCTCAGATGAGAACGCAGGCCAGGGTTCTGAGTGTCCATGCCTGGGCACCTGGCCAGGCGAGTGAAGCCTGCTGTCCACAGTCTGGACAGCGCTGCAGAAGTGGGAGAGAGGTGGACTTTGAGGCTCATCCCAGGCCCCAGCAAGCAGGTGTGGACCCAGCCCTGCAAGAAGACTTGAGCCAGCACAGTAGATATCCTGGAAAGGTGGCTGGAGGTGGGTGGCTGTCGTCTCAGAGAACTCTCTGTCTCCCTCAGTAGGAATCGGGGGCACAGGGTGGGGGAGGGGCAGGAGCTTTCTGTCCCCGGAAGGGCCAAGCGCTATGCGAGTGGAGCAGGGCCTCTGTCCTTGCTTTCTGTGGCTGCAGTCAGGGGCCCACAGTGCCCCCCTGGACACGGAGAATGTAGGCCACCTTCCCCTGAGCCGTCGAGGGGAGCGGACTGGGGTCTATGCCGACAGCAGGAGGAAACCCAGGAATGGACAACAGCTGGCCTCCCTACACTCCCACCTCCGGTCCCACTCTTTCTGTCCTTGGGCCTCCCTGAAGTTCTTGGGGCCAGGGCATCCGGGAAGGTTGGTCTTGGGGCCCCAGGTGAGCCCATGGTTCAAGATCTCCTTAGTCCCCGTCTGCAGAAGGGCCTGTGTGGTAAAGTAGACTTCAGGCCCAACCTGGGAGACCCCAGCGAGCGATGCCTGCCCCAGCTATACTAATAGAGGCGAGGTCTGGAGAGCAGGGGAGGTGCCACTCTGTTCTGCCTTGTGCTGGTCAGAGCAGAGCAGATACCAGGTTCTGAGCCAGGCCCGCATGGAGAGCTGCCGAACACAAAGGGGCTCAGAACGGGGTGAGATGGGGGGTGGCAGATTACTCTGGGAGACCCTGGGGCTGGAGAGCACTGGAGCTCCATCGGAGCCCTAGGAGAGAGGTGGGTCAGACAGATGCTGACACAGACAGACCCCAGGCCGCCTGGCCCCACGGGCCCCACGCACAGCCCCTACCCCGGCCGGCTCCCACTAGAGGACCAGGATGAGGACCTGGTATAAGGGCGGGTGGGGACTGCTCGGGGCCCTGAGCTGCTGAGATGGCCACGCAGGCTTCTCCCGCCCTGAGGACCACTCATCGATGAGGCCGTTTTTAGCCTGGACAGGCAGTAAGCAGAGGAGGAGTCTTGGGCGGAGGGCAGGATTCATGCCTGCGCTGTTCGTGGGGGACCGCACATCGGCAGAGATTTGTCCTGTGAGCCCAGTGTGAAACTGCTCTCCCCGAAGTGTCCAGGGCCACATGCCACGCCCCTGGGGACACTGAGGCATCAGGGCTCCTGGGGGGGGGTCCACAAATGCTTTGTGCCCAGTCTGCAGAGGTCACAGCTCTGAGACACCTGCAAGTCATTTAAGCAGCTGGCCCACCCCTGACCACAGCCAGGAGCCAAGACAGGGCAAATGCAGGGGATGCAAACGCGTGTGCTAAAGCTGGGGCACTCAGCTGTGTCTGAGTCTTCTCCCAGCTCGTCTTCCACCCAAGTTGTGGCATTGTGATTCCAGGGGACCAGAGTTTAGAGACCGGAAGTGACCCAAGCCCCAGCCTGCAGCCTCCCAGTGGGAAGACCCTGCCGCTTCGGGTGCGCTCCCAGAGTAGGTGGCTTTGGCCCTGCTGGCTCCAGTGGTAGGCACTGTCCTTGCCATCTAGAGAGGGACAGAAAGAGAAACCAAGAAGCCAAGGGTCACTGGGCCTCAACCCAGTAGCTGTGCCCACCCAGGGTCCTCAATGGCACCCACCATCACTGGTCACAGGAAGCACCCCAGTCACTACACACAGGCCAAGCCCAGCTCAGGTGACACATACGTAAGAGGGTCAAACTCAGAGCCAGGGTTAGAGTCCCATGACCATCGTTAGAACTTTGGATTGCAAAGTGCTAGTGATACATTCATTCATCCGGCACATCTCCCGTGCACATCAGGCAGGAGCCCGCCTCAGGGTACAGATCAGGTCCGCACAGGCCCAGGGTCCCTGGAGCAGGACTGACAGGCAGCTGAGTCACACTCGCCAGCGCTGGTCTCCTCAGCTTCCTTTCCCCAAAGCGTCCTTAGGATGTGTGTATGTTTGGTGCCTGTGGCTGCCATGATCATCTCTGTGGCTTACAGCAGCACGACTTAGAGGCAGCCGCTCACAAACGTGACACAGGGATCCCTGGGCCGACATCCCGGTGTCAGTGGGCTGTGTCTCTGCTGAGGCTCTAGGGGACAGCTCTTCACCTTGCTGTTTCCCACGACTGGAAGCTGCCTCATTGCTTAGCCCACGGCTCCTTCCTTCAGGGCCAATAGCCTGGTGGCTCTGAGCCTTCTCTGCTATCACAGCCCTCGCCCCTACCCTCTCCCCATGCCTCCTTTTTTTAAGGACTGTGGTGTACCTATTATGTGCAGAAAATCCAGGGTGATGCCCCAGTCCAAGGCTCTTATCCTATCCACAATATCCCTTTTGCCTTGTAAGGCACAGGTTCTGGGGATTAGGATGGAAAAAGTTTTAGGGGCCACTGTTAGGCCTGTTACTGGTCGGACCTGAGTAAAGAGGGTCTCCCCTTAAATCAGGGCCCACGCTCCCACCCCCTTAGCTGGTTTAGCCAGGACCATACCTTCTCTGGCCTGCAGGGGGCCTAACAGTCCTGAACAGGTGGGCAGTGCTGGCCAGGGTGGGTTTCCCTCCTTCCCAGGCACCTGACGTCTCCAGCCGTCCTCTGCCTGGCTCTCACCTTACCAGTGTGCTGCTGCCCAACCCTCCAGAGGCCACATGGTCAGCCAGCAGCAGCCTGGGCCAAGGGCTAGCCCTAGGATTCCCTATCCCCCACCCTCCAGGACAGGCAGATGGCGCCCAGCCTGGGCATGCTCAGCAGGCACTGGCTGCTGTTGGTGAGGGTTCTGCACAGAAGGGTCTGATGCTACCTCCCAGGTCCACAGGCTAGAGGGGTAGCCCAGTACAGAGGCAGCGTGCTGAGCCAGCTGTTGGCCAGCTGCTCAGCCTCGCTCCATCTCCTTCCTTAGCCTCTGTAGTCCGGGCTTGATGATCACACCCTAGCTCCCTGCTGAGGGTTGGGTCAAGGGGAGGCTACTTATCAACCCCTTCTCTGACCTCAGCACCTTCGGTGCCTAGAGTAGGGACCAGAGTCAGGGTCAGGGACGTCGTGCCGCTGGTGCCCCTGCTCCTGTCACCTGCTCTGATGCAAAACATCCACTGTCCTTCAGAACCTGCAAACCAAACCTCTCCTGAGGTCTGTCACCTCTCGCCCTCAGGCCGCCCTCCACCCCTCTGGCTGTAGACCTGGTGTGGTCCCCCAGGTCCAGACAGACCTCCAAGCAGTGATCTGAGCACTCTCAGGCACATGACTGAGTGACATTTCCCACACTAGAGAACTCCTCTGAACAGGGCAGTCTTGGGGCGACCAAGGTCCACGGGATGGGGTCTGCGCTGTAGGCCAGTCAGCACAGGGCCTACCAGACCCACAGAGTTACCCGGGCCGAGTGCTGCAAGGCAGAGTCCAGGAAGCACCCAGGTGGTCTTTGAGCACCATGAGTAGAAGGACCCCATCCTCTACAGTCTCCCACCTCAGCAGATGGCACCAGGAGTGGGCATTCGCACAGTTAGGGACAGCATTATACAGCAGCAGCATGGCTAGGACCAGGGAACAAACATCAGTGGATGGGTCAGGACCTCTCCTCTGCCCCCTGCTGGAAGACAAGAGGCAGCATAAGGGCTGTTGAATGTATCCTGCACCCTGTTCTAACGTCACAGCCAGAGTTCAGGGCAAGAGGAGACCAGGGCCACCATGTAAGGACCACACCGGCAGAGTGGCCTTTGTCTCAGCACTAGGAGCCAGGGGAGGGTCAGCATTCAGCAGGTGGACAGGGAAAGCCCATGGTCATGCTTCACAGCCACCTCCACTGGCTCAAGCGCAGACAGCAGGTGCCAGCTCAGGCGGGGACTTTTAGGTCAGACCTGCAGGGACAGGGCAGGTGCAGGACACAGGGCCCACAGGATCCACCGCTCCTGGTGAGCCCTGGTACACTACAGGTGGGAAGCCCAAGGCCAGACAAGGGACAGTCATTTACTCATAATCCCCTGACTCTTTGGAGCAAAGCCTGGCCATAGCTGATTCACTTTGTAAGGGGTGCAGAGCTCCTGGCGGGGCCCTGCAAGGCAGCCTGCATCCCCTCCCCACTCATCTGCTGAGCCCTGATCCCTGCAGCGCTGCCAGGCCCAGCCCACACTTTATGTCATTCCTCACAGAACTCCAGGGTCCCCGTTCATCAATCCAGTCACTGAGCACCATGCATCAGCCACCCCCACTGTCTGGGCCCCTGAGGGACACAGGGGCCACCTTGATTCAGCTCTGCCTGGAGGGGGAATGGCCAAGGAGGGCACCGCCACAGGAAGGGACCCTTCCTCCCCAAGGGTCGGAGGCCAGGGTCAGAGCAGTTCAGACAGTATCTGGGTAAATCAGCAGTGGGTCTTGGGTGATGAGATCACGTCCAGGGGTACTAAGAAACAGAATTGAGGGTGAGCCTGGGGTCATGGTCACACTAGTTTGCAGAGCACCAGCACCTCCTGTGTGGCTTCAGGGCCATGCAGGAAGGGTGTGGCGCCCACTGTCAACCCTGTGACCATCAGGAAACAGACCCGGGAAACGAAGGCACTAGCCCGGGCACTCACAGCCAGTGCACAGAGCCACCACTCCATTTATCTGACCTGCAGCCCATAATCCACATACTTGGTGACTGAGACTCCCTCAGGGGCCCTGCTGGACCCCAGGTGGTACCCACAGGCAGCGCCCAGGCAGCCTCCTTTCCCCGCCCTGGCCTGTGTACACAAGGCACAGGGGAGCACCCTTCCCAGGGGCTTCTTGTCTGGGAATTTCCCCTGTGCCCTTTAGGCCCCAGCCAGTCTTCTTCCTTGTCACCCAGCTCCACTGCTCAGGCCCTCCTGGCCCCAAGGTTGGCCCCTCCTTACTGGAGTGTGACCCAGACGCGGGCCACTTCCCAAGTGCTCACCCTGTGCAGTCACTAGGCCCCTGCCTTGAGGTGAGCCCGTGGCTACTTTAATATCCTGCTGTCTCCGTTCCGAAATCCTGAATAATTTCTGACGACAGGCCCTTGGCTTTTACTTCACACGGGCCCCACCCTTCAGGTCGTCGGTGCCACCTGGCCGCATTCTTCTACCTGTCTGAGCCCCTGGTCCATCCTGCAGGAACATCCCCGCGGGCTGCCAAGAGGCCGGCTGAGGCCAGTGGGTGAGACGTTGCTTTGCCAAGTGGGCAGGCTGCACACAGGTCTGTCGCTGCCACTTCTCCGGGAGGAACAGAAGGCTCTCAGGCAGAGCCTGGTAGCTCTTACCTGGGGACGGGGTACGAAGAGAGAGATGGGGCCCTCGGAGTGCAAAAGGACACTCGGGTTCGCCTCTGCTCAATTTCCCTTTTCAGCCCCAGGACCGCAGTTCATGCAGCTGGGTCCAAGCACAGATGGGGGTTGGCCGCCCTGTGAAATGCGGGGGCCCCCATGATTTGGGGGAGACCTCGTCTCCCAGCTCCAGCCCACACTGAGGCCCTGGGAGGGGACCCAGGAAAGGCCACAGAGGGAGAAGCGCCAGGGGAGTGGCCCTCCTGCAGGGTCCAGCCCTGTGGTCCTCTCAGTGACCCGCAGTTGAGATGCCACTGCCTGGAAGCCGGCTGTTGTTTTAATCTCTCTGAACCTGGTGGTCTGACCGCCTGGTCTGGTGTCCTCTGGCCTGGCCTTGGGGGACAGAGAGGTGAGGCTGCTTTTCAAGACGCTCAGAGATGGAAGCTGGGCACTCCCCTGAGCTCATGGCCCCCAAAGGCAAGAGGCCCCCTCAGCAGCACCCAGGACCCCACCCCAGCCACCTGTCCTATGAATGCAGAGGCCTAGGTAGAGCAACACAGCATCGCTGTGTGTGTTTTAGGCCGCTCATCTGCCACCCTGGGACAGACACAGCTCAGATGGGCCCAGCGGGAGCCACGCCCCCCTCCCGGCATGGTAGAGGAGGTGCTGGAGCCCAGGCAAGGACAGCCTGCCAAGGTCCAGAAAAATAGACTGAGGATGGGCCAGGTGCCTGTGCTCCCTCTACCCACACCTCGCCACCCAGCACCAGGCCCGGCATAGAGAAGCCCTTGAGAGCCCAGAGGGGCTCAGCACGGGGCAGTGGCCAGAGACAGGGTGATTGGAAGGCTGGGCTGGGGAGCAGCGATGAGAGCAGGAGCTGAAGTTGGACCATGTTAGGGAAGCAACAGGACAGTCCGTGGGAAGGTGGCGGGGGTCCCAGGATTCGGAGGGAGCAGGTGTGGTGACAGCCAGCGGGCCCCTGTGTGGCTGCATTGCGCCCCGGAGCAGGGGCTGGCTAGGTCCCTCCAGCTCCAGCACTGTGTACAGCCTCGGACTCCTTGTCGGGCAGCTGAGGGCCCAGCACTGTGAGGGCAGGAGCGTGAGGCACGGGAGGGACGTGGTGGCCATTGCTGGCGTACATGAACCAGGGCGAGGTGCTGTGGGGCAGCGGTCAGCACCCAGGGACAGCCCACGGGGCCTGGCGGTGGCGGCACAGGGAAACTAAAATAAAACTGCTGGGGCAGGAAAGAGTCCATAATGGGCTCGCAGAGGGGGGTGGCCGTCCGCACTGAGTCCCAGCCTCAGCGGAGGTCCCCGAGGACCCCTTAGCACTCTGGAGGGTCAGACCCCAAGGCCAAGTGTGGGAAAGGCCTAAAGCTGCCAGGCCATCTCTCGCCACCGTGGAGAGGCCCAGGCCGTGCGCCTCCTTCCCCGGTGCTCCCACCCCACCCCTGAGCCTTAATTACCTGCACCTGGGCAGCAGGCAGGTCTCTTCCATCTCCCACAAGAAAGGCTGTAGGGGCTCTAGGGGAGTTCGTCGCCCCTGCTTGGGGGTGGGAGGCAGGATTTCCCCGTCTGGGAGCTGAAGGCAACATTTGGCAAGCAGTCATTCCAACACCTGGACCAGCACTTTCAAGTGGGCTTATGTGACCTTCACCTTGGCCCCGGGGAGAAAGGCTCATCCTCGCTTTCTGGTTGCAGAGCTGGGAGGCAGCCCCAAGGGAGGCCTTTGAGGAGAGACCATGTGGCATGGCGCACGGCCCAGCTGCCCCAGTGCAGAGAAGGGCTCGGCCCCTTCCTGTGAAGAGGCTCAGGCAGGCTCCTCTCAGGGGTGGCCTATGAGCCAGGCCCCAAAGGATGACAGGGAGGTGGCAGCATAAATTTGTTCACCACAACCACGCACACCCAGCTGGAGCCCTGGATCTGTGCGGATGCTGAGAGCCAGACTGAGAAGAGTCAGGGTGAAGGAGAGTCCGCTTTTAGGACAACTCCAGCTCTGCCCAAGATGGCAGCCATGACAGAGAGGGATGCCGGGCTTCTCTCCCTCCTGCACCCCTCCTCCAAGGTGAATTTCTAGAGAAAAGCACCGTGGACTTGATCTAATTAACAGCATGGACCGCTGGCCCCTGAGAATCCCCCCCGATTCCCGAACTCCTTGTGGAGGGAGCCCTGAGCAGGCAGCTGGCAGAGTGGAGGAGAATCTGCCCGAGAACCAGGGGCAACCAGGCAGAGGCAGCGGGGAACTCGGGTTGTGAAAAATGGGCACCTGGCGCCTTTCTGCCTCCTAGCAGCGAAGGGAAGAGCGAAATCACCATTTGCCTACCAGGTGCTCAGGAAGGAACCCAGGTGGTGGGAATCAGGTCTGTGAGAGCGGCCTCCCTGCCTGTGAGCTGGCTCGGCTGGCCCTCTGTGGGCCTGCTGAGCATCACTAGCACCGCGCAAAGGCTGCGGTGACCTCGCCTGTGCCCCCCGCCGCTCAGCCCCTTTGAATTCTGCAGAAGGGAAAAAAGTACTAGACGGCCTTCAAACAGACAGAAACCAGACGCCGCTGGCGCACGGTTCAGTGAGAACAGATGTGAGGCTGAGAGCCTGGTGAGGTGACGGATGGAGTGCAGGCTGGGGACCCGCTGCTCGGCAGGCTGCCAGGGCCGAGAGCCACTCTGTAGAGGGATGAGAGGGGAGCCTCAGCTGCCGCCTGCAGCCAGCCATTACTTCTGGAGTTGGAGTCCAGGCAGGCAGTTAAGACCCTGGGCAGTTAGATACTAGGTATGCTCCCCTTAGCGTCGGCCCCAAACAGTGATGGTGCCCATTGGTGGTAACCTCCACCCAAGCATAGGCCTCTGCCACTTACACACAGCTCCTCAGCACACGGGAGCCTCCCTGCCACCCAGGGGCACAGTGCCATCCGCTCATGTTCTCAACGGAGAACCTGAGGCCCAGAGAGGCTGCCCGGCTCCCCTGGGGTCCCACGGTGAGAGTATCAGAGCCAGAATGTGCACCAGGTCTCCCCCCTCCTAGGCCATCTCCCCCCGGATGGGGAGAGACGGTGGCCCCTGCCCCAGGAGACTGAGCGCCTGTCTCTTTCCCTCCCCAGAGACGTGTGCGGTAAATAACGGAGGCTGTGACCGGACGTGCAAGGACACGGCCACTGGCGTGCGATGCAGCTGCCCCGTCGGATTCACGCTGCAGCCGGATGGGAAGACGTGTAAAGGTCAGCACAGGGGCCGGACGGCCGGTCCCTCGCAGCCACACAGCTGGGCCCGGCTGCTGGGCTGGATCGGGACGGCACACGAAGGGCAGGAGGAGGGCGGATCTCCGGCGGGGCTCCAGGAAGTGCCGGTTCTGAGGCGCAGCATTCAACCAGTTCCTGAGCCAAAGGCCTCCGCTGTCCACGGGGTGGACAGTTAGGTGTCTTCTTGCGGGGCTTCCTGGACCTGCAGTCCCCGGGGACACTGGGCCGGGAGGTGCATGTGTCACTGTAAGCCACTGTCACGAAGTTTCAAGAGAATCTCGGCTGAAGGAATCGGGAGGCAGGAGGACCAACATCTGACCAAGAAAATAAGGAGGCTGGAGCCTGGCAAAGAAGGCAGCGAAGGAGGGGCGGGCCTGCCGCCGGCAGGGAGCGGAAGTGGAGGGGCGGCTTCCGGCTGCTTCCTTGACACCCCCACAAGTTGCCAGGAGCCCCTGGGTGATGGGCCGAGGAAGGCAGGGAAGGAGGGAGCCAGCCAGGCATGGGACAGCACTGGAGTTGGGCCAGCTTGCCGAAGAACCAGCCTCCCACTCAGGACCAGCCAGGCAAAGCCTGGGCCTTGGGCAGGGAGTCAGGCCTGAGCACCCTTGTTCACAGAGTGCACAAAGCCCAGGTCCCCGCCAACCTTGACCAGGACAGATCCCGGAAGGGGACAGGGACTCGAACTTTGCGAAGCCCAGTCAGTGAAATTATTGAAAACAGAGTTTTAGGGTGAGTCAAAAATAAGTCAAGGTAGACTGTTTTTAAGCCTATAAAAATAGACAGCAGTGGCCTTTCCTTCCTTTCCAGCTCGCTGGGAAAAAGCAGTGACTGTTGACAAAAATAATAGTCTTTCTGGAGCCTGTTTATTTTAAAGTAACCCCCCCCAAGGTTACCACTCTGGCCATCAGTAGCCTGATGTGTCCCTGGTAGGCACGTGGGCAGACAGGTAGCACCTCATCCTCACCACACGGACCTGGTGCCAGGAGTGACTAGCAAGGAAGCCTCACAGCAGGGATGTGACCCGAGGCCTCCACATGCCACAGTGGGACCCTGGCCTCACCATTGGCTGTGAGGCAGGCTGAGCTGGGCAGAAGGGCAGCGCAGGGCTGAACCCTGAGGGAGGTGAGGGCAGCAGAAATGGGGGTCTGGAGCCCAGAGCTCCCCACCAGGAGCCAACTGTCTGGGGGAAAAAGGGCCTCGGCATCATGTGGCCCAGGAGGGGCAGCTGGGAGAGGGGCTCCTGCGTCTGCCTCTGGCCCCCACCCCAGTATCTGAGGGGAACTCACCCCCAGCTCCATTTCTGAGGTGTACAGGAGATTTCCAGGCCCAACCCTTGTGGTGGTCTTAAAACAATGGGCCCTGTAATCAGGCCACCCAGGCCCAGCCTCTGGCAAACCCCTGGGACCCTCACTCCCTGGCCTCGGGGTGTCTGTCCTGTAAGAGGGGCCTCTCCTCCTGTGTGACTAAGATGGCACTGTTTGGGCCAGGTAACAGTAAAAAAGGCTGAGTTGCGGTCTCTCCATGGGTGTAGAACTGGAGGGTCTCAGGACCTGCCTGGGCCTGACTACCATGAACATTTATGAGATCATCGAGTCAGGAGGCAGTCCAGACCCCCGGGTGGGTGTCTTCAGGGTTTCCCGGCTCTGGCTGGAGAGGCACCCACGGGCCTTGGCTGGGGCAAGCTCAGCTGGGAATCCCCAGTGGCCCAAGGCCCTGGCCCCTGAGATGGTCTCCAGTGAGAGCCCACACCCCAGCCCTGGTGAGGCTCCAGGCAGGACTTCAAAGGGGCAATTTCAGAGGTTCAGGGCTCTCTGGAAGCCAGAAAGCCATTGGCAGGGAAAACCGGTGGCTGGAGGGGCAGGAGTAACAGAGGGCTTGGAAAACCCAGAGCCAGAAGGCCTGGGTAGCAGGATCACAGGGCAGGTGGAGGCACAAGAGGGAGGTGGGTGGGGGTGTCTTGCCTATTCATGGGGACTGGGGGCAGCAGGGTCATTTCAGGAGCATGGACTGGCGGGGTGCAGTCTCAGCTTCCTGTTTGGGGTGGTCCTGCTTGCGTGGGGATATCTTGCAAGAGGATGGGCTTCCTGAGCTGGAACCTAGATTTCCCTCAGGGACAACAGCCCCTCCTCTAACCCCTGCCTCTCCCCAGGACCCTGGGCCAGGAAGCCCACCTGCCAGGGCTTTCATCTACATGGCACAAAGGTACCTTGCCTGCCCTCCACCCTGGCCAGCCAGTGCCACAGGGTGATGCTCACAACACCCCTTGCCCCCCCAGCTCCCACCCCAAAGCCCTCAACCCATAGGGCAGGAGGTTGCCTAGCTGTGCCCTGGTGGGATGCCGGAGGAAGAGGCACAGTGGTCCTGCGCAGGCCCGCGGCTCCTCCCACTCTCTAACCCCATACACACAGCCCAAGCCCCACCCAGGCAATGCGCTCAGATGCTCTGCTCACGGCCCAGGTCCCTTCTGTGGGCTGGGATCACCTCCACTTACTGTCCTTCTTGCACTCTCGCTCCTGCTTGGCTCGGGGTTCCAGGCAGGAGCAGACACCCCTCTGTTGTCCCTGAGGCCCTCTGTAACTAGCCGAGAAGGCTTCCCAGAGGGGAGCTCCCCCAAGTGGCAAGGCGGGCTCTGGTGCAGGGTGAGCAGGTGAGAGAGCGGCAGGAGCCCAGGCTATGAGCCTCTGCCAAGGGGCTGGACATTGACCCTGGGTGGCAGGGGGGCCTCAGCGACCTGCTGGCATGTAGGGCACACCATGGATTTGCTGTGGCCAGTGATTTGCTGGCTGCCCCCCGGAAGGTGGGTGGGAGATGAGGGGGTGCACAAGAGTGGCAGAAGTTGTACCCCCAGTGGCTTGGGCAGGTTGAAGGGCCATGTGAGCCCAGCACCCCTTCTGCACCCTGGAGTACAGAGGAGGAGGGGTTTCCTCAACACCACAGCAGCCTGGGCTACTAATAAACATGCTTTCCTCCAAAGTCAGCTTGCTGCCGGGCGTGGTGGTGCACGCCTGTAATCCCAGCACTGGGGAGGCTGAGGCAGGAGGATCGCTGTGAGTTTGAGACCAGCTGGGGCTACATAGTGAGTTCCAGGTCATTCTCAACTACACAGTGAGACCCTGTCTCAACAAACAAACAAACAAAAGTCTGGTTGCTATGGCAGCCCTTTGCCCCAGGCTCAGATGAGGAGAAAGGGTGGGTGGTTCTGAAGGCCTAGGCATTCCTGGGGCTGCGGCTGCCCATGGGCAGCCCCTGCCAGCTTAGTGCCTCAGCTCTTGCCCACTTTCCTAGGGGAGACACTGGCTGACAGCCTAGTTCACGGGTGGAAGCTTGGGGCGGTCCCGCCCCCTGGCCAAGAGCACAGGTGGCAAAGCTATGAGATGGGCGGCCTCTCTCCTGCCAGCAGCTTCGAGCTAGATACTTCTTGCTGCTGTGATCCCAGGGCTGCCCAGGAGGGGCCTGGCCACGCCTGAGCCCTCCCTGGACCTGGCTGCGGTGAACTCTCTGCTTCCCTAGTGGCCTCGGGACTCCATCTGTGACACAGAGCTCCCAGAAGATCCCGAGGGAGGGCTTCGCAGCGCAACCTGGGGCTCCCAGATGGCCTGGTGCTCTTTTCCGGGACGGGGCTCCCAGTGCCCCAGGCCCCCAGACCCATGCACATTTCTGGGCCCTAGGTGTCAGGAAGCCGGGGCAGAGTAGGAGGTTGGTGGCGTTCCAGCCCGGCCTTTTCCTGCGTCCCAGAGCTCACACCTTTGCCCGCCCCTCTCCCCACAGACATCAACGAGTGCCTGATCAACGATGGCAGCTGCGACCACTTCTGCCGCAACACTGTGGGTAGCTTCGAGTGCAGCTGCCGCAAGGGCTACAAGCTGCTGACGGACGAGCGCACTTGCCAAGGTGAGCCCCATGAGCCTGGGTGGCCCTTGTGGGGTCCTCTCAGGACCTAGGTCACTTCCAGCAGAGAGGAGGTGGGCGTGGGGTGGAGGGGCTGCACGGATGCACGTGCTTCTCCCACTTGGCATGCGCTCCTGCCTGCTTCTCCTTTATGTGTCCTCTGTGACCCTAGGAGCCATCCAGTACGACCTGTCCCCTTCATAGGTGGGAAACTGAGGCCCAGGAAAGGATCCACCTGGCTCCTCCCCTCCTTCCGCTTCTGCAGGGCCCAGACAGCTACAGCTCCAAAGTGGGTGCTGCCACCTAGTGGAGTGCACTGCGGGCTCCTCCCACAGTCCGTCAGGGTCCCTGGGCGCCTGCTAGGAGCAAGGGTGGTGGGAGGACAGGGCTGAGCACCCGCCGGGAACCCAGCCCAGGAAAAGCCCAGCAGCTGGCATGGGTGCCGAGGGAGCCTCGAGGATGGCCTGTGGAGAGGGGTTCGCAGGCGATGGCACTGTGCCCACAGGACTAGCTTTGGAAGAGGACCCAAAAGGAGGGTCCAGAAAGGACTCCACTTGTCCCCGGACCGTTGGGGTACAGCCGGTGGTTCTGTCCCTATGGGCTCTCCATAATTAAAGCTACGCGTGGCTGGATCTGACTCTGGGACCTACAGCTCAGAGGCCGGGCAGCCAGAGGCCCCACATGGCCCTGCCAGTCACCGCCCCCCAGTCCCAGCCCTGTCCTCACCAGCCCCCACCCACGTCTCTGCCCCTTCCTGGAAGTTTTCTCTGAGTCCCTGGAGCCCCGGGCTCCCACACCTGGCAGGCAGGCCTCCAACCTCCTTTGGCACTCGGTGCTCTCGGGCTGGGGACCCCAGCACCTCCCCAACCCCCTGACCTTGACACAGTCCCCTGGGCTCCTCCTAGCCCTTTTGCAGGTGCTCTTCCTCTCTCCCAAGTTGGCCCCATCCTTCAGGGTCTATCCCCAAGCTCCAGGAGGCCTTCCCAGATGCTCCCTGCCCCAGAAGGGATCCCAGCCTCTGAGCACCCTGAACGTACCCCCTTCTGGGTGTCAGTGGTTTATACACAAGCGGTGTAGCGACTGTCAAAGTCACAGAGGGTCATGTTTTCAAAGTGAGCTCTCTGCTGCCGTGCCCGCAGCTGGCCAGGCAGTGTCTGCTTTGCCCGGCAGGGCCCCCGTCCGCCGTTTTCCTCACAGTTTGTGTCAGGACACACTTGTCTCCTATAAAATATGGTTCGTCTCCTCCTTTCCAGTAATGGGAAATCTGAGGCTCTCCCTCTTTCTCTTGTTCCATTCACTTCCAGGAAGCTCACAATCTAATGTCACAGCCTATCAGAGCTCCTTTCTTAAACCGTATGGCTGACAGATTTCCCTTTGCCCTTATTTGTGCTTTTCTTCCTATGGGAAAGCACACTGATCAGGATGCGGGAGGCCTGGCTTCATGTCCCCATTTAGTGACCTCCTTCGGGCTTCCCGGAGAATCCCGGTCATTTTCTTGCCAGCAGGTGTGGATTCACTGCTGCTCCTAACTGCACCCGCGTGTGAGATGTTAAAGTGGCAGAGATTCACAACAGTTCCTTCTGTTCAAAATCTTTCCACCCTGCTCACCTCCAGGACAGGCGAGAGGTGGCTTCTAACCCAGAGGCAGAGTTAGTGGAGGAAAGCAGAAAATAGAGCAGCAGCCACAGGCAGCGTGACATTACCGTGGGTTGACGGTCCCGAGCCTCAGGTCCCGGGGCCATGCCACATGCGGTGTGCCCTGGGTGAGTGGGAGTGACAGGCCACGCCACCACTGCGCACTGAAGCACCTCCCCGACTCTGTCCCCTGTGGCCCCACAGACATCAATGAGTGCTCCTTTGACCGGACCTGCGACCACGTCTGCATCAACTCGCCCGGGAGCTTCGAGTGCCTGTGTCACCATGGCTACACCCTCTACGGGACCACCCACTGCGGAGGTCTGCAGCCCGCCCACCAGGGCCACCTCCCCCTTGAGGCACGCTCCGGGCCACACGGCCCCCTACACTGCACCCCACACCCCAACCCTGACCTTGACAGGCTGGGGGGCTGGGAGGGACCTCAGCAAGGCGAGGAACTGCTGGGCAGGGGGGCTCAGCCATGGGCGAGGCAGGGGAAGACAGGAGAAGACAGCAGACATCTGTGCATGGCGGCTTGGGGACATAGCTCCAGTCGTCCTAGTGGTGGAGAAGGGCAGGGTGGAGGCCGAGGGTGCGCAGAGAAGGCTGTGTGGGTCATGGCTGGACCGCTGGGCACAGGCTCAGGCACACAGATAAGGGACCAAGGCCACCGTATTGCTGGCTCCCAGAAGCTCGAGGATGTTGTAGAGATGTGGACAGGACCATGCAGGGGCTCCAGAACCCAGGAGGACCTGAGGTCTGTTTCCCAATACTGAGGAAGCCCCGAGGGTCTACGTAGGATGCTTTGCTGCTTTGTGGGACAGAGTGACCCAGGATACCCATGGGGAGCGGGAAGGGAGCTGCACCCTTGGAGCTGGGCACAGGGCAGAGTGTGAGGTTCTGCGTGTGTTCAGGGCAGGGCTGAGCTCAGCGGCTTGGTCTGTCCCAGCGTGGCCAGCGCAGGTGGGAACTGGTGATGGTCGGACTCTTGCCACCTTCTCTGTCGCACTGGCGGAAAGTGTGAAGCTGGGGTGGGGTCAGGAGATGGGCACAGTGGTACTGGGGGCTCCGGGACATGGCCGCACTCTCCTGGGGGCAACCTGAATGCTTCCTGGCCGCTGCCTCCCTGATTCACAGGGCCCTGAGTATCCGGGGTTCATCTGGGGCTCCTGGCCAGAAGAGGAAGGGCTCAGAGGTGTCTCCCTTCACTCCAGCGCCTACCTCCTCACAGGAGAGGAAACTGAGGCTGGAAAGGGGCTTATGTGGAGCCCCGGGTGAGATCAGGCCTCAGGGCCCCTGCTCAGGAGACCAGGTTGGACTGGGTGCCACCTCGAGGTCAGAAAAGTGCCCAGGGTCCCTGGAGAAGGGGTAGGTTTGGGGTCCATGAGGAGCTCTGCATTCCCGTGTGCGTGTGTGGCACGTATACATCCCACAGTGGTGTCGGGTTGGGTCGGTCCGGGCCCCGCCAGGCCCACCAGCCTCCCTCCTGCCCTCACTCGGGCCTCTGCTTCCAGATGTGGATGAGTGCAGCATAAGCAACGGGCACTGCGACCAGGGCTGCGTCAACACCAAGGGGAGCTACGAGTGCGTGTGCCCGCCTGGCAGGCGCCTGCACTGGAACCGGAAAGACTGTGTGGGTGAGTGGGGGGGGGGGGGGGGGGCAGATTGCTGGCTCTGCCCCTTCCGGGGGGGGGGGGGCAGGGTCTTATGGAGGAGGAGCTTGGAGTCACCAATCCTTGGAGAAGGTGGGTATGGAGGACCTGCCTCCCCAGCCCCGGGAGGGACCTCTAGGGAACAGGGGCCGGAGTGGAACGGGAGCGGAGTGTCTGGCCAGTGCCAGCCCCACAGTAGGGGCACCAATACCTCTTAGAGATCAAGGAAGGAGGGAAGCAGGTAGACCCTTCCAGGCCACACCCCCAGTGACCCTCCTCCTCCCACCAGCCTCTCGTTTAGCTCTGAACTCATCTGTAGGCTACTCTGCTGGTGAATATCACACCCCATGATCCCATCACCTCCCAAAGCGCCGCCTATGAACCCATGGGGCGCTGGGGGGGCAGCGGGATATAAACCAGAAGTTCTCTGACAGCCCCAGTAAAGACCTTCAGATGGTGACCTCACAGTGCTAGAAAGATCACAGCTAGTTTTCCAAAAGCACAGGTGATAAAGACAGTGGCACTTCTGAGTCATTTACGAATAGCTCTCCAATAAACTGCGTCTGCATATTACAAAATGAGTAAGTTGGAACATCTCAAATGAGGAACATAAAATCTAATATTTTTTCCGGGAGGGGCTGCTTCAATATTTCCAGAAAATAAACAACCATTGCCAATGCTTCCTTATAGCTCACAGGGTCCATTTGGAGAGGCCGCGTGCTGTCTCAGTGTCTGGTTCCAGGCTGTCTTCGCAGCTTGCCCGGGATTGTGTAGGTCACAGGACAGTCATGAACCAGTCATTTCTTCTGCTGCCAGGAGACAAAGCTCCTCTCCATCCGTGTCTAGCAACACAGCCAATCTGTCCCCGCCAGAAGCTGGATGTCTTGGGGCGACGTTAGCAGGTGTCTGCGTGAGGCAGTCGGGTGTCCCAGGGTGGCCTGGCCCCGCCAGCTAGCATCCTTCTGGGTGTTCTCATTGTCCCTGTCGCTCCTTTCCAGAACAGAAGCCAGGTTACAGTGGGCCCAGATGGAACCCTTGACCCTCTCCAGGGTTGTGTCTCTGTGTACTATGAAAGGTCCTCACCCAGGGACTGAAGGAACAGCAGCCTGGTTCACCTAATGACCCGAGAAACCAGTTCCTCTAACTTCAAACTCTTCTCCTTCTGTTAGAGTCAGTCAAGTTCTCTTTTCATAGACTTGCAAAGTCTCACCCTCCTGCAGAAGCTTTTCAGCTCTCTGTAAATATTTACCCTTTTATTTTTTGCAAGAGAATGTGCCTTAGAGAAGGTCATAGTTGAGCAAGCCAGAGCCATTTGGGTCCCTTAGAACTTGACTCTCCAGACTGCATAATTCTGACACATTCTGCCTGATACTTCCGTTCTTCCTTTGTTTTTGCTGCGGTTGTTATTAACAGCTTTACTGAGAGTAATTCAGTTGGCAAACCATTCACCCAAAGGATTTAAAGTGTGCGGTTCTCAGCCGGCATTTAGCTCAGCAGTTCGGTGGCCTGCCTTGCAAGCGCAAGGACTGGAGTTCAGTCCCCGGTACCAGAAAAAAAAAAAAGGAAAGTAAAGTGTGCGGTTCTTTGGGTTTAGTGTTCTCAGGCTATGCACCCATGGTCAATTTTAGAGCATTTTCATTTCTCCAAAAAGAAACGCTGTGTCCATAAGAGTCACTCCCCACTTTCCCTAGTAATTACACTACTGGTAATTTTGGATTTGCCTCTCCTGGACATTTCATGGGAATGTAATTATGTAAAGTATTCTGACCAGTTTGTTTCATTTGGCATTGTGTTTTTAGAGTTTACCCATGCTGGAGCAGGTATCGTTATTTCAGCGCTTTGTATGGACAAATTCTCTTTCACTTGGGTAGACCATGTTTTCTTTATCCACTCCCCACTTTTTGGCCATCACGGGTAATGCTGGTGTGAGCCTTTGTCCCCGTTTCTATGTGGACATGTTTTCAATTCTCTTGGGTGTATACCTAGCAGTGGACCATGTTTGACTTTGAAGGAACTGCCAAACTGTTTTCCTCTCTGGCTGCCCTATTTTACATCCTTGCCAGCAATGTGGGAGGGTTGCGATTTCTCCACATCTTCGCCAAAACTGGAACACTTGTTTCTGACTTTTTTTTTTTTCATTACTGGGATTGAACTGGGGGCCTCATCATTGAATTACAACCCAGCCTTTTTTTTTTTTTTTTTTTTAA